GTTGCCAAACTTGCACACCGAAAAAGAGGCCGGGTCTTCCGCCCGGCCTGAAGATATAGCGGCCTGCTTTGCCTCTTGGGCGGTGACTTCCAGGCCGCTGGCCTTCCCAAGCAACCGGTACCTCCTCGTCTTTTGGAGGGAAACATCATTGCAGACTCTGATATTGCCCCTACAGGCCCTAGACTCAGACTGGTACCCGCTAGACCTAGCCTACTGTGAGGAATGAGCCCTCAGACGGGGCCTTGCCAACATGCACATGTTCCGGGCATAGGCCCCCATCAAGCCTTGTGCCCGCCCTAAGTGAAGGCGGGCCAGACCTGTGACCGCCCTTAGTGAAGGCTGGTCAAGATATCCACGAACAAGGCCTTTCTTTCAACATTTTCGTAAAGTGGGTATCCGATAGTTGCAGCACGCCAATTGGTTGGAGTGCAGCGTGAATCCCAGACTCCTGCGTAAAGCACTTGAGCCCAGGGCCTCAGTTGGTTGAGCCCTGGGCCTAAGCCAGGGGAGGCCGACACATCACCCAACAGATGTCAGCCAATGGGAAAGCAGCATTGCCGCCGTAGACCAATGAGAAAGCAGCATTGTCGTCAATGAGGCCGAGAAGACCCTGGGGAAACTGGGTAGGGTCTGCATCTGGACGACGGCCCTGATACAAGGGGCGCAACTATACAGACCGGGCCACTTCGAGACTGGGCCTAGGCGCAGGGTCTGGGACAGCAACGCAGGCTCAAGGCAGGCCGCCCACACGCAGCATTGGCATATAGGCAAAGTGTGCAAGTGGGCAGGCATCTTGGCCAATGTAGGCATTGCCGGCACGCTGCGCGAGTGCACGTGTGTTGCGCTGTGTAAAGCTGCGTTGTGCGCAAGCAGGCAGGCAGCGCTAATACGGTGGTGCGCTGCAGCGCTGCCTGGGCGCTGGGCGCTGGCGGCCATAGCCTGGGCTGCAGAGTGGGCGCAGTGGAGGTGAAGGGCGAAGGTGGTTCTTCGGAGGTGAAGGGCGCTGTGGGTTATCAAGGGAGAGTGTGGGTGGAGAGAGGACGTACCTGGTGGAGGGAGACTCGGCATTGGTGTTGATGTCATCACTCGCTGGTTGTCAAGTTGTCTGGTTGCTTTCATGCTGTAGTCGTAGAGATAGGCTGTAGTGTAGATAGGGCGCCTGGCGCTGTTCATGAGAGAGAGCTACATTGGGTTCTGCTGTTGGTGTTGCCCGATTGGGCATGGACATTGACTCACGATTCTGTTGTATCATTCTCAATTGGATGGTTACTTGGTTCCATTGTGCTATCTGCTTTGGCTTTGACTACATGGACATCAGTGTGATTTTGCATTCTGGATTTCTATGCTTCGTCCATACTCATGTTCCTTGCAATTTGGTATCGGAGCTGGTATGATTCGCCACTTACCTTCGGCATGCTGGCGTTATACAGACTTGGTGCGATGCTGCTGCTTCTTCGCAGTTGGTACTTGTGACGTCAGGCCATTGTTAGGCGCACGCCCTGGGTAGAGAGGGGTGCACCGGAAGGCTGGTACGGCAGTGTATGCCGTGGGATACAACGGAATGTTTGATTGATGATGAGAGCATGCTGATGTGGCATTGGACTAAGGTGGCACTGCATTGCGTTGTGAGTGGTACCGAGGTCATGACCGGTCATCAAATGCAACATCAGCTCAATTGGTGAGAAAATCTGTGGTTGGGGGCAGCTATCTCCAGATATGTTGATCCCTTACCTTATCTACCCTCTCAATCTCTTCTTACCGTGAGGAAGTGAGTCCAACTTGAGAGTCCTCTCCTTGGTGAGGTGTTGTGAGCACGCTACCTTGAGAGACGACAATCATCCCGGAAGCAATCTGGAAGGAGAAAGGGCGGTGCCTCTGAAGGGCCCTGGTCGAAGCACTGGGTCACGGTCACCATGCCAACCCACAGGGAGTAGTGCACGCATGCGATGGCTGCTGTCCTGTTTGGCACTTGCTGCGCTCAGTAGAAGTCTTGCCGAGTGTGCCAACCTTTTAGAGACGCTTACCAGACCGTCTATAAACATTTCTGGTTGGGAGTTCATTGTGAATCTGGCTGTGATCGTCGTCTTGACCGCGACGTTAAAGAATTCCTGAAGAGATGGGGGCGCTCTATAAATTCCTCCTGATCAGCCAGATCACATGGACAGTAAGGCTCGTTTCCGTACGAGGGTAAATAAGAGTGGACTGGTTGGCTTGCTCGGCTTTGACTTGGGCACAGGGGTGGGCCGATACACACACGAAAACACTGCTCTGCTCAATGATGCTGTCCGGATGGTTGGATTGAGGGGAAGGGTAGATTCCAATTGGTGCTCAACTGAATACACAACTATACCCATCAATCATACATCCGCCACATGGTCTTTTTGTACTTTTGATTAGTTGGTGGACAGACTGCTAACACCTCACAGACAGACTAGAGTAGGACTGAAGTATACTACCATAGCCAGTTCTATCTAGTGTTGCTGTAAGTGAACTAGTCAAAGTGCATCTAGACTATGTAGACAATTTGTGTGAATGTTGTAGACATGCCACTTGATCGGTATAGTAGGGGACTTGCCGGACACAACCATTTCTAGAAAACTAAGTGCCGGTCAGACATATGCTGCGGTAGGATTCCACTAGGGGATTCTAGTGCAGATATTGTCTGTCTAACTAATCAGTGGATCAGATCCTGTGGATGATAGAGATGACAACAGGAGACTGACACATTCGGAAGCACTAAGGGTTCCGCACGGGTTCCAAGCCCTACAACCGGGAGAAGAAAGACGACTTATAGCCGAACGTAGAGCCCGTGCACTAGCAGCAGCTAGGGCAACAACGAACACCGCAGCAAGGGAACAAGCTGCAACAGCAGCTAGGGCAACAGCCATGACTAGCTCAGCAGCAACCTCTGCGGCTTTGACTGGGACTTAGTTGGGATTGCCAACGAGTTCCACGGGCACTTCCAGTTCAATGGGTTCAAGACAATCTACTAGTCAGATGGCGGGCTCGCAGTTCAGCCCGCTGACCCCACGTGAGAGGGAGCTCAGAGAACTCCAACAGGTCGAAAGGATCCGTGCACAGTTAGAACAGGACCTGAAAGAAGCTACTGACAGAGAAGGAGAGATCAAGAACAGAGCAGCCAGACTTGATACGTTAGCGTCTAACAAAGCTGAGTTGGAGGGCTTAGATGATTCACGAATGAATGAGCCCATGAAAGTGTTGAGGAACAACATGCTGTCGCTGCATGCGCACGTGGACAGCAGGTTGGACTTCATGCAAAGCACTTTAGACCAGATCCTGGATATATTAACAAGGCCAGGATTCCGGCCACCAGCACAATCACCGTTGCCGTTAACGGCGATGTCAGGTCCCTTTCCAGTTCAAGCTGGTTCACAACCAAGTGGTACGTCTGCAGCAGTCTCGCAGACTGTTGCGTCTTCTTCTTTTTGGTCCAGCGGTGATTGCTACATCACCACAACAACCTGTTCCTCCACAGGGACAGCAACAAGGTCAATGGTATCCTAAGACCCCGATGAAACCGCCTCTTGCCTTCTCAGGCGAGAGAAAGGACGAGGAACTCAACACATGGTTGAGGACCGTCCCGGTTTGGGTGAAGGCAAAAAGGACCTTGCCTGAGGACGAAGTGGTAACTGTTGCATCTTACCTTGAAGGTAAAGCAGCCAAATGGCTAGATGGTGTAGTGATAAAGGCCGGGTATGGGAGACGCATGACAGACTGGGCTAAGTCATTGACGTTAGACCAGTTCATGGAAATGGTAGAAGCTCGCTGGCATAATCCACAGGAGGCACAGAAAGCCACTGATGCGATTAACAAGTTGGACCAACGAAAGTTCAAATCAGTCAGAGAGCTTACGACTACCGTTGAGAGCCTGATCCTCGTTCCAGGCATCAACTACAGTGACCAGTTCCTGTTAACTACGTATGTTAGATGTTTACCTGAGAACATCAGGAACTTGCTGGCCAGCGAGGCACGCACTGAGTACCATTCGTTTGAGACATTGTCTAGAAAGGCTTTAGATTTGGAGGCCACTCTAGGCAATGCTCAACCCACCTCACAGAATGACTCGAAGAAGACGAAGAGTCCTCAGGAGTGGAAGAAGAAGGGGGCTAAGTTGATGATGGTTGAGTTAGATGGGACTCAAACTGAGATCGACGAACTCTCTGACCTGATGGACTATCCAGAGTATGACGGCGAGGAGGTAGCTGAGGGTAGCACTCTTGCCGCTGTAGTCAAGACTAAGGCAGGTGGCCGAGGGAAGGGCCAACCTAGGGGTCAAGGGAAGGCCGCCTCCAATCAGACCAAACAGGCTGAGTGGGTTAAGGCAGGTCTTGACCAAGACGTGTGGCGTGACCGCCGAACGCGTGGCGCTTGTTATAACTGCGGGGAATACGGACACTTGCAGTACAAGTGCCAGAACGCTAAGGTTACGCAAAAGGTTGCTCCAAAGATGGGGGCAACCTATTCCCAGGCTTCCATCTCGGGAAACACGTGAGGCCAGTGGAAGTATTAGCTGCTTCTACTCGAGATGAAGTAGGATTGATACCCTCCCTACTTCATGACAAGGCCAAGGCTAATGACCCCTTAGTCACCCCGCAGACACAACTAGACCAAACTATGGTCTGTACGTTAGATGTGTCTGAAGCCTTAGAGGACTTGGAGAGTGAGTGGTCAAACAAGGACCCTCGCGAGTCTTGGGTGGTGCTGAAGAAGGGTCCTAGAGGGGAACATTTTGTGGTGGAAGTGGATGTAGGAGGCCGCAAATGTGGTGCCTTCATAGACATCGGATCCACGGGAAAAATTATATAAGTCGCGATTGTTTGGAAAGGCTGCACCTACAGGACCGGGTACGGCACCTTAGTAGACTTGTAGCATCTACTTTGGCCAACAAAGAGCGCATGATAGTAACAGACTATATCAAGGACGTAGTCTGTACCTTCTCCTATGGAGGAGGGGAACTTAACCATAAGATCTCGTTCTTGGTTAGCGACGACTTGCCATTCGATATGTTGTTAGGAATGTACTACCTCGAAGTTGCTAAGCCCCAGTTCGACTGGGATAAGAAGGTGCTTAAGCATAAGTTGCCCGATGGCCGAACTGTCAGGTTGACCAAGTTCAAGGCCAGTAGTATTATAGATACCTATGGCTGCTTGTGCGCATCAGCGTTCTACAATTACTACAACCAAAACGAAGAGGAAGGTATGTACCTTGTGTATGTCTCTGAGAAAGGGGAGGCCGTTAAAACACCCCCAGAGATAGCGTCGTTGCTAAGTTCCCGGATCTGTTCGAAGAGCCCACAGGAGTTGTTGAAAGGGAAGTCGTCCACGCTATAGAAATCATTCCAGGGAGTAAGACCCCAAAGGGAAGGATCTATAGGATGGCCCCCGCCGAGTTAGATGAACTTCAGCGACAGTTTAAGGAGCTGACAAAGAAGGGTTGGATTCGACCTAGTACTTCCCCTTACGGATCACCCGTTCTATTTGTACCGAAGAAGGGGGGTACTTTGAGGATGTGCATTGATTATAGGGGCCTCAATGCCATCACTGTGAAAAACGCAGAGCCTCTACCTCGCATAGACGACCTATTGGATAGGGTGCAGGGATGCAAGTACTATACGAAGATAGACTTGAAATCCGGATATCACCAGATCGCAATAAGACCTGAGGACCAACACAAGACAACTTTTCAGACTAGATATGGTCTGTATGAGTTTGTAGTGATGCCTTTCGGTCTTTGTAATGCGCCGGGTACATTCCAGCACGCTATGAATCGGATCTTCCATGATCATTTAGATAAGTTTGTCGTAGTCTATCTAGACGACATTATGATCTTTAGTAAGTCTGCCGAGGAGCACGCACAACATGTTGAGAAAGTACTTTCACTCCTTCGACAACACAAGTATAAGGTCAACTTAGAGAAGTGTGAATTCGGTCGCACTAAGATACTATACTTGGGTCATGAAGTATCCGCGGAGGGAATTAGGCCGGAAGATGCGAAGGTGGCTAGTATTCGAGACTGGCCACGACCTCAGACAGTTACAGAGGTCAGATCATTCTTAGGAATGTGCGGCTACTATAGGAACTTCGTAAAAATCTATTCTACAGTCGCCTCCCTTTTGACTGATCTAACTCGACTTGACACACCGTGGGACTGGAGTGATGAGTACGAGGGTGTTTTCAAGAGATTGAAGCAATTCACTCATGAATCATGAGGTCCTCATGGTTCCCGATCCTCAGAAGCCATTCATAGTGACCACTCACCCAAGCCAATACGGCATTGGCGCAGTGCTGGCTCAACAGGATGGGAAGAAGTTGAGGCCGATTGAGTACATGAGCAAGAAAATGCCATCGAAGAAACTGGCAAAGTCCACCTATGAGAGGGAACTCTATGCTCTATACAAAGCTCTTGTCCATTGGAGACACTTCCTTTTGGGAAGGTTCTTCTACTTGAGGACCGATCATCAGACCCTCAAATGGATCAAGACTCAACCGGCTCTTTCCGATGCACTCAAGCGATGGATTGAGGTCATAGACCAATATGACTTCACGCTTGAGTATCTGAAGGGAGAGTACAATAAGGTTGCAGATGCACTATCCCGTAGAGCGGATTACCTAGGTGCGCTAGTTTCTGACTTTGGCATATCTGACGAAGTAACTCAATCGTTGGTGGGAGCCTATCAGGAAGACCCTGTCACGATGGACATCATCCGCAAACATCAGGCAAAAGACAAGGCCACAGAGAGTGAGTTTGTGATGGTGGACGGGCTTCTCTATCTCGATAAGGCCGGAATAAAGAGACTAGTAGTTCCATCTAGTGAACCTTTACGTAGTTTATTCTTAGGAGAATGCCTTGATGCAACGGGGCACTTTGGCTACAAGAAGACGAGTGCGAACCTAGTACAGCGATTTTGGTGGCCTGGGATGTTTGACGACGTAAAGAAGTACGTAGAGACCTGTCAGGTCTGTCAGCGGGATAAGCCGCGAACTCAAGCACCATCTTTCTCTTTTCCTCCCTTCCTCTCTCTCTCCCCTTTCTCCCCCCCCCACACTTTCTCCCCTTCTCTCTCTCTTCGTCTTGCCCCCTCTCTCCCTTCCCCTCACTTAGCATATGACTAACCACTCTCCCCTCACTTGTTACATTGCCAGGGTGCGAACAGTAAAGAGAGACCAGACCTCACTTGGTGGAGAGAGAGGGCAAGGGAAGGGTAGCCGGTCCCTTGTGCCACCATGAAGGCAGAAAAAGAGGGCGTTGGGAAAAAGTGGGAAAAGGACGAGATCCGGAGAAAGCATAAGTTAAGAGAGAGGTCAGTTTGACTCAACCATTTCCCCGACTGCATNAAAGCATAAGTTAAGAGAGAGGTCAGTTTGACTCAACCATTTCCCCGACTGCATGACTATGAGAAGAGGATGGGCTGATTGAACAACAAAAAGGGAACAAAGCACAACCAAAGAGTATGGAAAGGATTGGCATGTGGGAAGGGCTATGTGTTGACTCCCAACGGGGGACATTGTATGGATCTTCTTGCTTGTGTGGGATTGTGCAGGTGAGTAATGGCTAGAAATGCCTTGAGCGGGATAGGGGCGAGAGGAACTCGGCATCAAGAGGAAAAGGAAAAGGGGACAAAGGGGCTATGGGACCCTTGACATAGAGCCAACCCATGAAAATGACTTTTGCGCTTGAGACTTGGAAGTGTGATTGAGAGTGCAATCGTGCCAAGGAAAATGTGATGTTGTGTGTGCATGCATATGAGGACCCGGAAAAGACTAAGGGGCCTACTTCAATAAGGTGGGAAGCAAATTGTGAGATCCGATGAATGCGTAGAGGCGAGGGAGAGAACGGCTCCGCCGCACCCCGATGACGCCATATAGCCAAGATGCTTAGGGAAATGGTGCGTGGCCTAAGGATGACGCTTAGCCTACGCACAAGAGAAGAGAAACACTCAAAGTATCCTTGGACTGCCTGCGTATTGGAAGGAGCAATTGCACGAGAACACCACAAAGAATCAAAAGAAAATCAGCGTTGCGAGACGACCATCGAGACTACCACCCGACGTGAGGGCTGAGCTACATCCCCAATGTCAAAGCTCTTTCGCGCGATGGACCACCCCCATCCATCTCAAAGCACTAGGTGGGGGTGACCTCGGGACGAACGGCCCGCGCCCCAAGCATGAGCGTGGGCGGGCCGAGCCAACTGGGACCCGCAGTGGGGTCGACTAAGGCTCGAAAGTCTACCGGGGTTTGGCCCTACAAAATTGGTGGAGGTGACGGGCAGGGGGTTAAACTGACCCTTGCGATTCCGAGGGGGGCGCCCGACGCATTGACGTGTACATAACCCAAGATAAGAAAAATGGAGAATCAGATTTGAGGGCGGCTGGGCGCATGGCATGGTCAGGCCTGGAGAAATAACACGCATGCTTTGCACTTGGTTAGCCATCTCCTTGCGGAATGGCTTTAGCCCTCCTTCGTTCGGTGCTGGTGTTCCAATCCGGGGAAGCCTTGGGCAATTCGCAGGTCGACCCTTCCTCTTCGTATGAAAGAAGGGCTCTGGTTACCTGGCAGGCGGTTGGTCCTTCGGCTTCGGCCAGGGTCCGATGAAAATCCCATGGCGGAGTGATCCGATCGAATGGGTGTTTTCCCCTTCTTCTTTGAGCCCAGCGGGCTCATGCACTTTGCACCTTTTTTAATGATTGAAGGAACCAATATGAACACACCGGGTCATCAAGAAAGAACAATCCCGCCCTATGAAAGGACAGACAAATGAAGAAAAGGGAAATGAAGGGAGTTGCTAGACTCCAAGGAAAACTAGCTCACCCTTGAAGATTCTCACGAGAAGGAACCAACCACTATGTATGAAAGTAGGGGGAGTGACACTCATTGTCCTGAGAGAAAATCTGTGAGTTATGGGTAGGAAGCGCTGGGTGCACCAAGGGAAAGGCACTTGTACTATGTGTGTCCCACTTGGGACTTGTGTTTGCATGATGGGATTCGAGCGTCCTGCCTTTCGGAAGGAAAGGATTGGTCTGCACCGGCCAGTCCGGGTTGCGAAACGTCGTTCTCTTTTGTAGGTTGGCGTGTGTTTGTATGTGGAGGTCAGGCCACCGAGTTGTCGGACGGGAGTTTGTCACTTCGGTTGATTAGTAGCATTCTCGTTCGAGCGGTGACGGGCTTCGGCTCAATGATCTGCTGGACGGGGTGTGAAATCTCCTCAGGCGGGGCGTAGCCTGTTGGCTGGCGGAGGGAGTACCACTGCATGCGGACAAAGACGGAACCTCGAAGGCGATTAGTAGCCTCTCGTAGCATGGTTTTGGGAAAGGCTGATTCTTGTCGGACCGATGGAAGTGAATGCCCGGACGGCTGACTTTGTCCCTGTATTTAGGCACTCGAGGTAACCCTCGGTGTCGGTATGGATGCGCAAAGCGGCAAGACGGGATGGGGTATTTTGGGTAAGGAGGAAAGGGCGAATGCCTTGCCGAGACCTGGGTACCGCGCTCGAGACGGTTGAGCTGCGCTTGAGGTATGGGATAAAACTCTACCGATAGTACCAGCGGAGAGACCATATTGGGGATGGCCGGTGAGGAGATGACCGACCCATATGTGAGGTTGCCTGATTTTTTTTTTTTTT